ACGATATATAATGCCACTTGAACTTGTGGCAATACCTGCAAACTTTCTCATCCTCTCTTGTTAAATTTTGTAGGTCATGACTACAAGAAAAATCCTTCAATCTGCGGTTGGCTTCTGGCAACCCACACTTGATTGTACACGCTGTGACGAGCGCTGTCACGTCGTGGGACAGTCTTGCGCAGTGTCATGGGACACGCACACTGCAGCACGAGCGATGTCATAGGACAGTTGCACCACAGGCAGCCCAAGTTCAATACGGGGTCGAGAGTTACTTGTCAGTAAATGGCCGTAGACATAAAGGATTTGTATTGAAATCCCGATAATAGATTCAAGAAGATATTTATTCGCAGAAGTTGTCAATATATAACAGTTCTTCCTACTTAATTCAAATGGTGTGCTCTTTCTTCCTAAGTGGTTAAATTTTTTTGATCCGATGCAATTTTAGCGATTTCTTGTACTGCATTTCAGTTCTTCACTGTTTTCTTAGCTTAGGCAAAAAATATAGCGAGGCAGTCTTGTCTTATTATTAAGTCACTCGTATGATTATATAACGCCTGAATTAAACTCCACTCAGTTCTTCGGTATTTTCCATAGTAAACTCTGACCTTCACCCGGCGGTTTTCGACGGCGGTTCATCAACTTCATGACCGTGAATTCTCAGTTCAATATAAATAGAAAGAATCCACTTCAACGGCTCCAAGATATTGATTCCATTAGCTCTTCTTTCTACAAAAAAGATAAAAATAAAACAACAATGAAAGAAGATTAAAAGACGACCTCGATTTAAAGACAGTGGAATATGAGAAAATAAAATTAATAAGGCAAGACAAAAGGACAAATAGTTTTGTGGCAGCCTAATCTGTTGGTCTAATTCAACATAATCGCAATACGTTTTCTTTAAAGATTTGTCTGCTATGAAGTTTTAATCTGATATAGCACCTGAGAGCAATCTCGTTATTGCATTGCAGCTTAGTGAAAATTTCCAGAAGCAGGAGCTATAAATTGATCGTAAGGCAGCCGGCCTCTATACCGCATTATTCTATAGCTAGCAGAGTCATAGACTAGACAGGAACGACTGAAACTTTCGACGAAATTTTAAAAGTACCACAGATTTCAGCTATCACTTTTCAAAGCAAATACTAACACTTGACAGAATTCGCCCGGTTCACCTAGAGACGTGTTTATGATTCTAAAACGCCTGGGGACTGGCTAAAAGCGTTTTCAGTGTCAAACGTCCTCACTCCGTCCGCGAACTCGACGGATCTTAAGAGAAAAGGCGGACTGCTAGCAGTCTAGGGGAACTACAGTGTCCTTATACAAGGGGCTAATGCGGTTGCAGACATTGAGACTGTAATACTATAATTAGAACCAATCAATTTTTATTAATTCCTTCGTGGGCTTTGGATTTATCATTATGTTTCTATCGTTCTCAACAAGGCTAAAGCCTAATTGAAAAGTCTGGCATAAAGAACAACAAACATGAAAATCCACGGAAACGTGTACAAAAACCTCTATCATACGATGAAATCTCCAAAGCGACTGACGCGGGTCTTCATCTGGGGTTCCCCTAAGACCGGATCGGGATGAGCAGGGGACAAAAAAGGCGGCCGGAAAACACCAAAAACAAAGCCGTGTACAGATGAGACTCAAAACAGTCAAAAGGAGTGTTTACTCAAACTAGTATCGTGGTTTACCTTAATTACTGAACTGAATGCTAGCGCTGGACATCAGCACATGCTTGACTGGTATATCATTTTCTAACGAGTCTCTTTGTCGTTGTTTTTTCTGTCGCGAGCAATAATTTATGTACCCTCTCTCCATGTCATCCGGATGCCGGGTTCCGATAGAGGGGGAGGGCGGAGAACACCCTTGTGTCAGTGCAAACCGTTCACTGATATAGAATCTCCGTTCTGTTGTCGTACCCGGCATTCTCTGTGCTTCAGACTGAATGACAGAGAAATTAAGGCCAATCCGCAATACTAGCCATTTATTTCGGCTCTACTGATCAACTGAGGTGTATTTTCCGTTGACGATTTAGTTACGTTGTTTGTGTCAAGTCGTTCCTTTGTGTCTGATGAATGAAAATAAACTACACCGAGCACACATTTGTGTGTCGAAAAACATCCATTTCCGACACAGACAGCAATCTCTTTCCCCAAGGTAAACTGGAGATTGAAAACTGAAATGAAAGTGTTTGCACCGCGAAAGTGAAGGGCCGCACGCGTTGCCAAAATCCAAAGTCGAAATCAAAAGGGATTTGTGATAAAATCTGCAATATCGGGTAGCCAGTGTGTTTATTCTATTGGGAGCTTTCTCGTTGATTCTCTCATCCGGCTTAGAGAGAAAGGTTAAAAATAAGCAATCGATACAGTATACCAACAATCCGGACGTATCTTAAACCCGCAATAGGGTTAATGTATAGACTCGATCAGTAATTATTCGATTTTTTTAAAAGGTGATGGAGATTTGATTGAGACAGAGCCCTCCTCTTTTTAGACTGCTACTCCGTGATAAGGATTATCTGACGCGATCCAGGTCTCGCTAAACGTTACAGGTGCCAAGAAAAATTCTTCCGTATTTGCTAAGTCTTTTTTAGATCAAAAACAGTGGTTGTTTCAAAACAGGTACCAGTTTGTTTTGGTGCTCAACTTTCCCGCGCGGATTAAGCCGGTATGCGGAGCAGAGCTGAGGAAAAACACATGCACCCTGGTATGTTAACCGCTGTGTCCCACTTAGAGGAAAACAAACAGTGACGTTGTCATATCATTGGCTGTACATGATATCGAAAGGGAACGGGTTCTCAAAGGGAACGATATACACGACAGAATTGTTTTCTCAGCTTGAGTGTTAGGTTTCCCACGTAGAACCATTAGCACTGAATTAGTATCGATATTCAAGAATCACCTCAATTTTCCGTGAACTTCGTGTTTCCCTTTTCGACCCTTAATCACTGAAGTGGAATGCATGGACATTCGAGCCACGACTGACTCAATCGAGACTCAATGACTTAGCACTGAGCTATGAGTTTGCTTGCCATGTAGCTGTTGCTTTTTGCCTTTGCTTGTCCACATTCCGATCCTTCTGTACTCGTTAGTTATATAACAGGAAAAAATAAATGCATTTGATGCAATACCGCGCTATTTTTATCCTGGCATTACATAAAAGAAATGACCCTTCTTGAGTAATGGCTGATCACTCGCCCATACACGATACAAAGCACAGTGACTCGCATGAAAATCCGGATAGAGCATGGTTTTTCCAAGGTACTGCAAAAGGTAGAGCCGCTATAAATGGACACCATAAAAGAAAGAACAAGCAGTTTAAAGAAATATACCCAGCTAGAAACAGCTGCTGGAGGGTGAAAGGTCATTGGCATATACCACACAAAAACGAAATTCACAGCCGCCCATGAGTACTGATTAATATCATCTTTTGGCGCAAAAAATAACTGTTATGTCAACATTTATTTCTTGTTACGGAAAAAGGATCATTCAGAAACTTAACACGCCTGTGAAAAAGGAACAAACCTCGAGAAAGATTTATCTTTCTCTTTCCGGCTCCCTCAATCCCTCTTGACCGATGGTTTGTACCGATAGTGGAGTACGCTTATTTCTTCGTGAATTAAACATGTTTAAAACGCACCTTTAAGGACATTGCACCAGCTAATCGCCATGCTAACTTAAACTTATCAGCACGGTCAGCGCTCCGTGTGCAAGTCAGTGCGAACACTCGCGGTGTTATCAAGAACTGAACACGGAAAATGTTTTAAATAGTAAGGGGCCTTAATTATGCTTCACCTGCGTCGTAAATGCGTAAGAACTCAAAGGTACATTTTTAACAAGACATGATTTGGCTTTCCAGAGACAATCTTGACGTAATTTGCACTATGTCAACCGCCCAAACCAATCATTCACTCAAGTGGATGATTGGAATTCGTCATTTCGCGAAATTTCTTTCGTTCTTTTTTTTTTTTTTTTTTTTTGAGTTGCAAGTCCATTAACCAGTGTGATACGGTCAGCAAAAAGCAAAAAGGATCTTTACACCGGATGTATGGAATTACTCAAGGACGAAACAATATCCACAGGCATTTTGGCTTTGCACTATAGTTTGAAGAGTTTATCAATCATTCGTATTGTTTTTTGCTGGATTGTTGTATCGTGTACGGTATTGTTCCATGACCCGAGGTGACCGAAAAATCAATACCAATTTGCACTTTCATACAAAAAAACGCCATGCGGGTAGTTGTCCTTACATAATTTAAACAGCTTCTGTTGATTTGAATTGAGGGACCAGAATTTTCCAATATTCGTTCTGTTTTTTCAAAGAGCTTGATTCGTGATTGCATCATCATTTCCAAGAAAATGAGAAAGTGAAAAACTCTCTCATTTCAAGCCTCTATTTTACAAGAATGTTAATCATCTTCCAGCCTTTGAGAACCAAGGTAAAGTATAAAGAACGTATACTGCCCCGATGCAATCCAGTCCAATAAATCTTGAGCATTTGCTTCGTCTTTTGGCTTTTTTGATTTCGGTTTTTACGTTGGATTTGGACATATATAACTCCATTTATTAAGAGAATTAAAACAAAAGATTACCAATCAACCGTGGAACTTTACATACAGTTTACCTTGGCTGAAAACCTATAACCTTGCGCAAGATATAATTACGAATTTTCGGTCTAATTTTGCTGTCCTTGGAAAACTCAGCTGGCAGATTGGAAATAGGAAGTAAATATTTGGGCATAAATACTGGCCAGGAACCTGTCAATAAAGGCTTGTATTGAAATTCAATCGACTAAACTTCTTTAGGTGTCAACACTCATTTTACCGTTACGGACTACTAGCTTTATGTGACGGAACGCGTGGAATTCAACGCACCGTCAATAAACTCCGCCCAGTTATGATTCATTATTAAGAAAAAGGGTCTTTTGCGGAAAAATGAAAGTCGCTTGGACTATCATATGAAGTCTGGAACGAATGCCTGCATCATATTTGCGCTAGGGCCAAAGATCTTGATGAAAATCTTGATTACACGGTCGGTTTGATGTTGTGTTCGATCGTTTCCGGTCCAGTGAAGGGTTTTGCGGTTAAAAAAGGCATTGCCGCTCGTTACTGATTGGTCCTCATTTGAAAGGCAGGAAGCTATCAAAATGCACGTTGCCTAGCGAATCACAAAATCTACCCAGCAACGTAGCGACGTTGATCAGCATATGCGAAATGACAGGTTGTCACTAGGGTATAAAATTTGCAAAATCCACAATTACGGCTCTTTCTGCACCTAGCTCAGTATCATCACAGGCTGATAATCTGAGCCAGTTGCGCCGGGGGTCAGTCTCGCAGAGGCCACACGCGCTAGCCAAGAAGCAGCAGCATTCCTTCACTATCACGAAGTGTCTGCTGCTGTGTTCAAGGCCTGTGTGCTCAAACTGGCTTTGCCTCACAGCCCCGGCGCTGTCCATATCAGCGTTGACAATTCCTCTCCTGCGCGAACCTAACTTCCGTCGTGGAACACTGCTTGATCCAGCATGGAGCTTCTGTGTTGTGAGGGACCAAGGGTTCGCTATGCGTATCAGGATCCGGTCCTGCTTCAAGACGAACGCGTTCTTCGAAATCTACTTACCTGCGAGGATAAATACATCCCCAGTTGTCGATATTTCAACATTGTACAGAAGGAGATTGAACCTCACATGAGGCGCATGGTTACATCATGGATGCTCGAGGTAAATAAATACCCTGCTCTGATTCCTTCATTATAAATAGATCAACTTACTCAAAGTTGATGCAGTGTCGCTGAATTGCCCTAATTTTGTCCTTTCAGGTTTGCGAGGAGCAAATGTGTGAGGAAGAAGTATTTCCCTTGGCCGTGAACTATTTAGACCGCTTTTTGTCGGTTGTGCCAACAAGAAAATGTCAACTTCAATTGCTTGGTGCAGTGTGTATGTTTATCGCCAGCAAGCTTAAAGAAACGTCGCCGCTCCCAGCTGAAAAACTGTGTATTTATACAGATAACTCGATCACTTGTCAAGAATTATTGGTAAGATTAAAGAGAGTGTCTCATATAATAATATATAGGTCATTCATTTCTTATTCGCTAGCTCGTGCTTTGCGGTCACGAGCGCGATTTTCCGTGATTGTTCTCAAATTATTTTTAACCATCACTTTCAGTATTTGTTTTCTCCCTGTCATGTTGGATTTCACGCGCACGAATCTTTTTTCTTAATTTGAAAGCTCACTGTTGTTTTTGTTCTTACTGCTATCTTTTAGGATTGGGAAATTCTAGTACTCGGAAAGCTTAAATGGGATCTCTCAGCCGTCACTCCATACGACTTTCTAGAACAGATCTTTTCTCGTCTTTCTCTTCCTAACGTCAGTGTGATCCGAAAGCATGCCGCAACTTTCATCGCTTTGTGCTGTACAGGTACGGTAATAAAAGAACCCACGTTATTATTAAATTTATCCATGCAAAGATAAGGATTTAATCCTTGGCAAAAGTCTGCAAGCTTGCCCACGTCAAAGTGTGCAGACGTGGATGCCCTTTTACCCTTCAATGAATTTAATTAAGTTCTTTTTCAACAAAACTGCGTCATTAACTCTTTGGTTTCTGTGGCGTATCGTGAAAGATAAAGCTTGAATACTTCACTGATTCGTTTTTCCTTTTTTACGCTTTTGTATGGCAGATGAGAAGTTCTTGATGTATCCGCCGTCCATGCTTGCTGCAGCCTCGGTTTGTGCGGCGTTTACTGGTCTTGCAACAGAAGAACAAAAAAGCGTATGGACAAGACCAATGCTCTTTTCGTTTCTTCAAGGACTAACCAACATTGAACCGGTAAGAATAGGAAAAAATAGAGGACGGTAAAAGAATTTTAAAAGAATTCCCTTTTCAGCTGAGCCCCTAGTTTTGATGAGGTGTGCCAAAGATAGCTAGTACCACTGCAAAAAAAATGACCGAGCTGCTGGAACAAACAAAGAAAACCTTTTCATGATATTTTCAAATCATACTGCAGGCCAAATTCACGTGCCATTCATGTGACTTTTTCATTCGGTTGCCTTTTTATCCATATTTTTCCCATTTTTTTTCTTCACACACAAATACCTAGCTACACAGCTACGCGAGCTATATTTGGCGCTGGCCACAGAAGATGCCAGAAGAGATATTTCTATTGAAAACAAAATACTCTCTCGCACTTAAGAGCGTTTCTTGAACAAACAGTCTTAGACGTGAAGTTTAGACTGAAACTTTTTCCGGTTTTCTTCTCTGATCCGCACAGGAATACCTCCAGTCCTGCCAAGAGCTTATGGAAGAAGTACTTCATTTTAATGTCACGGAACCTCCAACTTCAAAGGTCGAAAACGGATGTTCGCCGAGTACACCAACAGACTTGCAGGAAATCCATTTCTGACAGAGGCATTTTCGAGTTTGTCAAAAAACTTTTATTGTGTGTGCCTGCCTACCTTATGTGTGTAAATACTGTAAAATAAAGGATTGGAATTTGCTGAAGAATCTCCTCCTGCGCCATTTCTTTTTTTCAACGTGTGCCTTGTCGGCTCCTGCATTGTTTTTGCTTCTTTTTTTCTACTTTCGAACGTGCGAATTATTAATCAGCGGTTCCTTTCTCGAATGGCGTTCGCCGCAACTTTCTGAGTGACCTGCTAACCGAAAGTCTAAGTTTACATTTGCAGTGTAAACGGCTTTAGGGCCTATCGAAAAAAGAAAGACATTCTTTAAGCGAAAGCAAACATAACAAATCCCCTGGCTTGAGTCCGAAATAACAACCAGGCCATTTTGTACCTGTTTGCGATGTCTTGTGTTTGTCAACCCACGCGCGGAAAAATGCGGTCATTTTATTTACACCCAAAGGAACGCCCTCAATTATCGTTCTCCGAAAATTTCGCGTGACTGCCAGCTTTTTTGACAGCATAAGTACGACAGGAAGGGAAACATCATATTTTTTCAGGTGCGCTGAAGATATTCCATTGAAAACACGCGTCAATTAGGAAACAAATGTTAGTATTTCGATGGGTTTACGAGTTAACTCGTGTACTGCCAGTTGTACACCTGTTGGGACGCAAAAACACCACGTGGTAGAAATTCCATGCGATATTATGGAACCTTAACCTTTCCTCTTGCTGCTTTAAAAACGCCGATTTTAATCTGTGATTCCCTGGTCAGCCTCTCCGGGTCAGGAGTAGAGGCATTATCGTAAGCCTTGTCAGTTTCTTCTTCTTTCTACATCAAGGCTTAGCCTTGCAGTGTATTATTCCGGTTACACTTCTTTGATCGGTTAAACGCACGAAAATTTCTTTAAGTACAATGTTTTTCGCTACGGGTCAACGAGATATGAAGAAGGGTACTCTGGCGGGTGACCTAGTAGTAGAAAGACAAAAAAAAGGGGTTTCTTGTTTAACCGATAACTTAAATGCCAAAATTAAAACAAGGCTAAGAATTCATTGCCTCAGTGGAAACCGTAATTATAAGACAAAGAAGATTTCTTTTTGGTTCCTAATGGCGCGACATGCAGAAATTATTAAGAACTTTAGGCAATCCCATCTAATCTTGTCCAATTTTTGTCTATCCGGCTTTTGTTAGGGTTTCTTAAGTTTTAGTTTCTCCCGGTACCTTTCTTCAACGAGTCAGCAGAGCATCTTTTTGAAAAAATGCCTCGCACAAATATTCTTAACGCGCAGAGTCACGTTCATTTGTGTTCCGTGGCCCAAGGTTTCAATGACAACTTTGAAAAAGTAGTTTGCTCTTTTTCGACTGCGAGCTCATGAAATCGTGTTTACTTAGCACATTCATGCGTCAATTTTTGGTCCCTGATGATTTGACACTTTGATTATTCCTCGTGTAAAGCGGTTGAGCCATGCCAAGTCTGAAAAAACTCGTCACCTTTTAAACTTTTGTCAGCATGCATTGATTTCCATGGACTTAACTGTATCTGTTTTAAATGTTATAAATGCCGTGTACTTTCCCCGAGTCCAAAAGAATCCTGAAGTGTTTATAGCGCATACCCACCAAGATAAACTGGTTGACTTTCAGTCGGAGTATTTTATTCAAACTTTATTAGAAAATTGAAACGCTTACTTCTTTATTTTCTTAAAAAATGAGCGTTGTTCACTTTCATTTTTTGGAGCCAAACCAGATATAAGAGTGGACAACACTTAACAGAATAAGCTGTCATTTCGCTTACTTTTAAAACTTACTGTTTCGAATTTTGCTTAACTGAAAAAAGAGATGGTTGCGCGATATTATTTGGAAGAGACGTGGAAACCTAGTGGGGAAAAAACATTCGCCGTTCTTTCTACCGTGGATGTACCAATGGCAAGATCATGAGAACGCTTTGAATTCATGCAGTACGTAAGAGAGCAACAAAGCCGTGTCTGCAAAACCAGAGCATACGGTGAGAATATATCAGCTTTCTTTGGCTTGAGAAACGACTTAAATAACATCTCGATGAAATGATCGGACATGAAAATTTTATCAGTTTGTACAAAAATGATTGTTAAGTTCAAGTGACCTCGTCTTAGTTATCAACGTCGAAATTTCAGTGATGATTATTTGCACTGCATGATCTCTGATACACTCGGTCGTAAACTTGAGGGTTTGAGGGTTTAACGTCGCCGGGTTTCCTTGCTCGACAAAATTTTAAGTGTGCCACAAGAACTGCGAGAAAAGTTATCCTTGTTGAAGTTTCGACTAAGTGCCCCGGGTTTTCCAGTGTGTGATTGCAGAGGTCGAAAAAAAAATCGCGCCCTTTTTTAACCAATCAGGAAGGGAAGAAAAACCTGCCGACTTGTGGAGCTCGTTTTTCAGTTTCCGTGCTTGGTGTTATATTACTCTCTTCAACGCGTCGTAGCATAGAACGCCTTCGGTCGTTAGTACATCTAATGCTGATCATCTGATTTCCGTTATCGTGCGCCATGCTTATACCTATAACTTGAAAAGAGATATAATGGCGATGCCATTACTGCAAGATGGTCGGCCATTGTCATTTAGTGTCATTCAAGGTCAAGATCAGAATTCTCGGCTTCAACTCAGACAACACATGGCATTTCGTCAAAAAATCTTTGATGTCAACTGACAAGTCTTTTTTAAAGGACGAAGGTTTTCTGTCAGTTATTGTTTTGGGACAGACCTTTTACTATATTTTAATAGTTAAATAAATAGGAAAAGTTCAGCATCGATTGACAAAAGAATAAAAGATACGCACTTCTCAGAGTTTAGTGTCTTAACTGTCGGTTGCTATACACTGTATTTGTTGGATTATTGTTGCTTTGCAGTTTACGGTGAAAATTCCATTACACGTACAATAATGCGTGTGAAACTTGAGAAAGATAAGATCTGAAAATAAACTAATTTAAAGTAGCTCTCCAGTGGAAGGATTGAAGAGTCCTTGAAGAATTCAAGTACCCGCGTTGAAGGTTCTAACTGAATGAAAAGAACACTTGTGCCGCGCTAGTGACTGGAAGTGAATCACGTTGCTGACTAGAATTAAAGTTATTGAAATTCACAGTCTAATATTCCACGTAGCTCTGGGGTCAAGGTATGAAAATTTCACATGGCTTCGAGAGAGAAAACTCGTGCATCCGTTCATATGCACTGCGTTATAGAACATGTGACACGAATTTAGAGTGTGCACATGATCAATGTGGTTCTGAGCTTTACCGACAAGCCATGCTCTCTTATAATAAAATCTCTACAAATGTGGTTGGAGCGGCTCGGCGGTTAGTGACGACCTCTTCACAATGCAGGCTACTCTCTAGAATCGTCGGGCCAACACTCAGGTCATTTTATATCTGACTATGTATATTTGAAAACCTCCCATCGATAGTGAAGTGGCCATATTTCTATAACGAATGCAGAAAAAATCTCTAGTGGAATAATTTCTAACTGAGTTGTGACTGCATGCAATTGCAAATTAACTAGGAGCACTAGTTAACACTGGTATTAACTGATCTAATGGTGGGTGTAAAACTAATTACATTATTTATTTGCATTTTCTGTCAGACAGCTATATTTTCACAACGTTTGAATTTTCTCTTGCTGAAACACCCGGCGACCTGCCACGCGATGGTCATACATTTGCGTGCAAAAGAATTATAGCTACTTTCCGCACGCCACTGAAATTCAATCGCGAAGATGTAGCTTCTGTTCTGTGCCCAGGATAACAAAAACACGGCCCTAATTTTCAGTCCACAAAAGCTCACAATTTCTAAGCTAGTCAGACCATCAGTTAACGCAAAAACACAGTTAGCACGCTTAGCCTTTTTTAAAACTTGTAACAGTGACCAAACTAAAAGCGAAAGAGTTTCTAGCATAGTTTGTCACCTGGAACTCTTTAGCAGAATAATAGAATTGGAATCACTGTTTTGGGAATAAGTTATATGGCGTATTGGCAAAGAAAAAATTTGTTTGTCATACAATTACCTTGACATTATTTTTCGGGCGCGTTGTAAAAACCGCGCGTAGCTTTCTACTTTTCGTCAATGTCGCAATACCCTGCGAAAAGAGGCCTTTGCCAAATCTTCCTAGATAAGTCCAAGATCGAAGCGGGACCTCTGCGCGCAGGGTAATATCGTTAGTGATTAGGTTAGACATGCAAAAAAAAGTGGTTGTCGAATGTTATATTCCCAGAGCTTGAGTTGCTAAATATTACATGCAAATAGCCAGACAAAACTAGTATTTTAAAGAGTCTTGTCGGCGACTACACTCAACACAACTAGAGTGTTTGAAATAGCTGTGGATGTTTTGATTTTGAGTTTTTTTAGTTGCAAATATCGCAAGATATTGGCTTTCTAACATCGTTTAACCACAGCAAATCTGAATGAGGCTTTCACACACGTGTTCCGCTCAACCGCATGGCTAGGCGGCTAAGATCATTCTTAGAACATCATAAGTCCTACTGGTTCGAGTGTTAGAGTGGCTTTACTGGTTTCCGGCAGCGAGTTTCTAATAACGATAACTCTTGGCCGTGGTAGAGGGACAAAGAAGCCAAGGAATTAAGTTGGAACTGCAAACTAGGCAATCGATGGGCAAGGTTGATTCGTTGTCGTTCTATGAGGACTTAGTAACCACGCTTTTCCTGATCCAGATTACTAAGTAACCGCCCTTTCTGTCTTCTTTTTTGGTGATAATGTACCATACCGAGGCTTAGTGTGTGAAAAATGCGCAGTTTCTTTATTTCACTTTATTTCGAGGGAAGATTATCATTCATAATTGTATATCAGCTCATCATAGCTGATCTGCGGAAGGACTGCTGCAGTCGAGGTGTAACAAGTACTATAACTAAGCTATTAACTTGGTCTCAAGAGCGCTTTGTTGTTTTAATGCACTTGTAAATTTTTCAGCAGTACATTCGAAATCCAAAGGACACTCAAGAAAATAAATGACAAAAGGCTGGGC